GTACATTGCCGTTTTCTAGAAGCAGTTTAACAGTTCCTATTCCTTTAACTTTACAAGTCATATTGTTCCCCATTATTACATGTCCCCCAGTGGTAGTTACAAAATCAAGAAAACAATTTTTATTGGGGCACATATGAAAAGAACAGTCCGAATCAAGTATCCACTCTTCACATAGCTTGTTTTCATTATTAACAAGGACTACACCTTCTTCAATATATTTTCATTACAGACCATAGTAGCATTCCTATCATCAGAAGTCTTATATTTTGCTTCATTCTTTTTCTTTTAACAATCTTTAATAAAATGACCCATCTTACCGCAGTGATAACATTTCTTGCCTTTTGCCTTATTCTTGGATTTACTTTTATCATGCCACTTGTTCTTATTTTCATTTAAGGACTTTGAGTGAAAATTAGGCTTACCAAACCCTTTTCCATTAGCAAGCAGGTTATCCCCATAATGACTTTTTGTCTAAAATTTAATTTCAAGAGCTTTATTTTTAAAGTACTAATGATCTCATCAGTAGTAATTTGAGCTCTACCATATTCAAGAACAACTTTGATGTCTCTATATTTACTAACGGAGTTTAATAGAACTACAGCCAACTGAAATTTGGAAAGCTTTTCATCACAGTTGGACAAGTCTTGGGTTAGCTAAGTAAATCTATTCAAGTTTTCATCCAAATCAACAAAAAGGTCCATTTTAAAAGAAAAGAATTGTTTCAGCAGAAAACATTTATTAGGAATTGTCTTAGTCACATATTTAGCATGCAGTTTAGCCCATAGATTAGAAGCAGTTTTAGTTTCACCAATTTTCTTACAACATTATCAGATAAGTACAAGAAAATAGTATTCCACGCAACCTCTTCCAGTTTTGTTCTTTTAGCACGAAGCAAATCCAAAGGCCAACTATTATCAAGAGCCCTAACAACTCTTATTTGCATTAAAATTGCTTTCGTCTTTTAACACCAAATATTAAAATCACATTTACCATCAAATTGTAGAACTTCAAACTTTGCATAAGCCATTTGAAATTAGCAAGATGATACACAAATAGGCATTCAAAATATTAGTGAGGCACAGTCAGAGATTCACAGCAATTACAGCAGCTTAAGATCATAGTAGCACACTTTCTCAGAAGAACCCAGAAGAAATGAAGAACTCCAAAAGCCAGAAGAACGAAAAATATCTTCCACTGTGTAATATTTATATCACACATCATAAAGGCAGCAATCCAAGGGCCAGAAATCACCCACATGTCATCATCTCATAATAAGTGCACTACTAAGAAAAAAGCATCCAGCATAAATACGATTTTAAGCCAATTTTGGGAGCACATCATAGATCACAGGTTCGAGCCTCAACACATAACTACCTATATAAACCATCCACTACAAAATGCTTGCCTACAAAGAAAGAAATTGGAAATAGCTCAAGTAAGAGCCTTCTAAAGTTTCAAAATGTACACTGCGCATCTATTTTCCTCAACCACAGACCACAAGTTAATCCTCAATATCAAAGAATACAGTAACATCGTCAATATCAACATTCCTTCTAAGAATTTTGGGGTATTTATAGATTTCCCTTGTTTGAGCCCCATTATTTGTAAAAGAATGCATTTTTGAATAGTAGATTGATGGAGAATGCGTAGTTAACAAATAAGGAAAAGTTTCAAATTAGGGTTTAATATTATTTTATTGAATAATGTATGGTTGAAAAGAAGAAAGAGAAAAATGTATTTTTAAAAATAATGGAGATCAAACAAGAGCTTCTTAAGAAATTTGATACTAGAGCTTCATGTACGAAATGATTATGGCAGGGCTTACTCTATTGTTGCCCAGTAATGACGTTGTTTTGGCTATCGAGCCCCCTCTTATTTCATTGTGGGGTCATTCTAAGTAATATAGATTCAACTTGTAACAATAGTTCCTCGAGTTCGAGCATAATTTTTTATATTAGGTTAAGGACTTAAAACATTTTTTTTAACTTTGCCTTTGAAATAGGTGTCGTAGTTTTGATAAAGAAATTTTTTCTTCAAACGAAGTTATATGGCTTCTTGGTGCAAATGAGGCAATTATCTTGCTTATTGTTTTAAACGAGGCAATTTTAGTGAAGTTATTCAAATGGATGGCTTAAATTCTAATCGTATTTCTCGTGTTAGTGAGACACGTGTCAATTCGTGGCTCATCGTGAGTGTGCACCAACAGGTAAAGAGGGCTCTGTGCGCTAAATGTTGATGCATGCGATACTGCTGTGATTGCAGGGTGATTCATCTATGCCATCCATTTGAATGGTGTTTTTGGTGCCTATTCGTCTTCTACAACAGAGATCTTGCTTTGAGATAATGTCATAGATCTTCCGAATTGAATAGCTAGGATTACTTGAGTGAAATTATGTAATGGGATTATGTGAGTTAATATTTACTTATTTATCACTCTTTGCAAACTTCTACTCGTTCTTCTGGTACTTCTTTTCAAAAGTTCTCTCCAGTGTGTGTGTGTATATATATATATAAAATTTTTTTTCTCGAGTTGCTGCTCAACGTTTTTTTTCTCTCCCGTTTAGAATTATAATATAATCGAAATTCTATTTCGAAGATGATTGAAAATTCTAATTAAATTCACAATTTAATAATTGAGATGTTTTTGGAATTCTATTCAAAATCTATTTGGCAAATTCTAGTTGAAATTCTATTTGGAATCCCTATTGTGAGTTAGAATTTGTGTTGGATTTGGAGATATCAAGATGATGAAGATTTTGGACATTCTATTTCATCTAAAACTCTACTTTTAGGGTCTAAATTGTCCCTATATATATATATTGCATTCTTCTCTAGAATTTAGTTGGGTTGATTTTACCTCATTATGGATTGTTAACCTCATTATAGATTAGTTTAACCTTATTGGAGGTTTGTTTATCCCCATAATTAGTTAGACAAATTGTAAACACAAAATATTTGTAATCTTTCTCCAAATTATAATAACTTATTGTTTCTTCTGCCAGTTATATTCTTCTTGTGAGTTTATGAACTTTATTTCATATTATGTTTATAATCTCGTATTGTCTTCAACAAATTGGCTTCTGAGTTATTCGATATTCTCTGTGTTTCTCAACAAAATGGCATCAGAGCATTTTAGCTTACAATACTAAGAGGGTGTTTGGTAGAGATTAAAATTAGATTTTTAGTGGATTGTGATAGAACTTTTTGAAATGTGTGATTGAAAAGATGTGAGACTCGTGAAAGATGTAGTTAATATTGATTGTTTGACTTTGATTTTGATTAAAATTAGATTTTAATTTGACCTAAACAGGCGCTAAGTTTCTTAGTTTCTTTCCCCAGCCTTTCATTTGGGGGTACTTCCCTTGCCTCTGCCCTTATATTTTTTCTTTGATTTTCATTTCCTCGTTCATTGCACTGTTTATGTGCAAAAGTATAATCTTTGCTCTAAAAAATTACTCAAAACTCCATTACAATCGCTTAGGAAATGCTTAACCATTACTGCAGTTGGGCTCGGCTCGGCTAGGCTAGGCGAAAAATCGTACATTGCTCGGACTAGAGCTTCTTCTGAAACATATCCAATCTGGCCTGCCAAGCCGGCGGGCAGCCTGGGCCCATTGTAATTAATATTGATTTTTCAAATCTTGCGCATCTAAAATCAATGGATTCTGAAGTTGCATTCAAC